CAGGCTATATGGGGCAGGATGTGTGGGGCAGGATGTGTGGGGCAGGCTATATGGGGCAGGATGTGTGGGGCAGGATATATGGGGCAGGATATATGGGGCAGAATATATGGGGCGGGATGTGTGGGGCGGGATGTGTGGGGCAGGGTGGCTGTGTGGGGTGATGCTGATTTTTCCCTCCAGGACGGGAATGGAAACCAGGTGCTGCCCCGCGTGTCGCACGAGGTGAGACGGCGCTGTGGGGCAGCCGGACCCACAATGGGGCAGCTGGACCCACAATGGGTGCTATGGGGCAGCCGGACCCACAGTGGGGCAGTCGGACCCACAATGGGCAGCCGGACCCCCAATGGGTGCTGTGGGGTGCAGTCAGACCCACAATGGGTGCTGTGGGGCAGCCGGACCCCCAATGGGTGCTGTGGGGCAGAGCCTCATTTTGCCCCTCTCCCCACAGGAGGTGAACCAGCGCCTGAACAACCTCTACAGCCTCCTGCTGGAGCTGCAGGTCTGTGGGGCGGCGCTGTGGGGCGCCATGGGGTGGTGTTATGGGGCTGACGCTATGGGGCGCCGTGGGCAGCGCTGTGGGGCGCCATGGGGTGATGTTATGGGGCTGACGCTATGGGGCGCTGTGGGGCGATGTTATGGGGCTGACGCTATGGGGCGCCGTGGGCAGTGCTGTGGGGCGCTATGGGGCAGCTCTGTGTGTTATGGGGCCGCTCCGCGCTATGGGGTGCTATGGGGCAGCTCCTTGCGCTATGGGGCGCTATGGGGTGCTATGGGGTGCTACGGGGCCGCTCTCTGTGCTATGGGGCGCTGTGGGGCCGCTCTCCGTGCTATGGGGCGCTAAGGGGCAGCTGTCTGCACTATGGGGCGCTACGGGCGGCTCCGTGCTATGGGGCGCTATGGGGCGCTATGGGTCAGCTCTGTGCTATGGGGAGCTATGGGGCGGATGTCTGTGCTGTGGGGAGCTATGGGGCGCTATGGGGCCAGCCTCCGCACTATGGGGCGCTATGGGGCCGCTCTCCACGCTGTGGGGCGCTATGGGGCAGCTCTCCGTACTATGGGGCGCTACGGGGCCGCTCTCCGTGCTATGGGGCACTATGGGGGGATATGGGGCACTACAGGGCTGCTCTCTGCGCTGTGGGGTGCTGTGCGGCCGCTGTCCGCGCTATGGGGCGCTATGGGGCGCTATGGGGCAGCTCCGTGCTATGGGGCGGCTCTGTGCTCTACGGGGCGCTGTGGGGCCGCTGTCCGCGCTATGGGGCGCTATGGGGCGGCTCTGTGCTATGGGGCGCTATGGGGCGATATGGGGCGCTATGGGGCAGCTCTGCGCTATGGGGCGCTG